TAGTGTAATTAATAAATTAATCGATAGGATAATTAATTAGTTAATTGATATATGTATATATATATATATATGGACGGTTAAAATCTATATCGATTCATTGTCTGGCGCACTTATATACAAGAATACCGCACATCCAGCAAACACTCGAGCATTCACGAACCTTCGAGAATATAATGACGTGTTACTAGCGTCACGTGACTTCCGCTGTCGTAACACTATGTATTATGACATGAAGTACCTAATATCTTTGAAGTAACTAATCTTGTACGCGTATCACATATACGAACATATTGGCTCTCAATATGAAGACAGTTTGAAGAAAAATTAACACTTATTAATATGTTTAACAGCCGAATAAATGAAATGTTACAGCTGTTGATAATGTTTTAATACAAACAAGCACTATAGTGGTTAATGGTGGCGAACAATTTTTAAAGTGACGTTTTATTTACTTCTAAGTCCCAATAAAAGTGAGATTTTTTAAGTTAAAGTTAACTTTGTATCTGTATTGGATCTGTCGAAGTTCTAAGTGATCACTCACATTTTTCAGCATGCAAATGACTGGGCAAAGCAACTCTACCATATTATATAATAACATGAAGAGTGTAATGTCACAGATTACCGTCCTTGGTCTTCTTCTTCGACTGTCACAATAATCCACAACAAATTCCTATTCTTTCACCGAGTCTTCTTCTTTCTAACGGACCATTTCTCTTGGACCGTACCATTACTCTAGATTTTTCAAAGATCCGTCTTGTTTTTTCATCTTCTTGAGATATTTAAAAAATGCTACATATATTGACTTATCTGTGCAACTCACTGGTCCTATGCTACTTATAAGGAATTTACAAGTTATCCTCGGCTGAGCTGTCCTCCTGATTTATCACTTCATTATTGGGTGTATATAGAAAGATTCTGGAATGTGCCAATTCTGCATCTAATCTTCCACTTGTATTGGTATCCTGCTTACCTTAATAGATCACAAATGTCATTGAAAGCCAAACTGTAACATAATTTGTGATTAGCTGAGTGAAGAATATAACTACACATTAAAACATGAGAGAATTATAATTCTCAATAGACGCGGCACTTGGAATTCTTTTAGACAGGATTAGAGATCTAATTACAATTTTGGACTCAGGAGGGCAAACTATTTCGATCGATGTATTTAAATACGTTCAAGGTCTCATAGATTAATTACTGTAATCCTACCTAAAAGAATTTCAATTCGTAGGGTAGGTTGGTAGAAAGCCTGATGAGTAATAATATCGAATCGGGTATACGCTCTTTCTCCACGCTTGGTACAGCTGGCGCACAAAAATATAGCTAATAAAAAGTAAAAGGAGGTCTCATAGTTTAATTTACACTAATCCTGCCTAGAAGAATTTCAAGTCCGGCTGCTACTGAGAATTCCCTCATTTTTTTCTTTTTATTAGCTATATTTTTGTGCGCCAGCAATACCAAACGTGGGGTGCGTGCATACCCGATTTGATTTGATTACTTATCAAAATTTCTATCAGCCTACCCTCAAATTAGAATAATTAATCTGTGAGACTTTGGGCGTGGTTAAATACATCAATCGAAAGAGTTTGACCTCCTGAGTCTAGATCTCAAATCGGTCAAGAGGTGACGGAGCTGTGAGCTAAAAGTATGTACTTGAAGAACCCAGAGCCATTCTCTGATCCGCTAAGCCGCAGCTAATAATATTGCTAACGTTGTTCATCTGATTACTAACATTTTTTAGGTATTTTTTAATAACTGTGTGTATTTATCAATGTATGGCTCACAATATAGTTGCAACAGAGTAACTGAACGCTAAGGTTGCTCATATGATCGATTACATTGTTGAGTTTTTGTTACAATTTTAGTGTTTTTATTGTTGTATTGTTTAGTAATACATATAGCTGTAACAGATCAGTTGATCGCTAACACTGTTCAGCTATTATATACTTAATAAATATTTTAAATGTTTAAATATACAGGTGATGATAAAATAATTTTGCTTCATTGCTTACAACTATTTTTAAATTTCATGTTATCAGCTGGAGATGAATGGATTCGGTTACCAAAAGTCACGCCTCTACAAATCGTAGTAGCTCGTCAAATCAAGAAGTACCTGACTGGACACTTGGATGCTCAGGTAAGTGTTTTGTTAACTTTCAGCGATACCAATAGAAAGTATCGTGATAATTTTTAATAATAACGCCATAATTATTAAAATATTGTCGTTTTGTAAAGGAACGAAAAATAATTTTAAAAATCACACAAATGTAAAAATCATAAACATAGTGTTACGACAGCGGAAGTCACGTGACGCTGTTGGCGCTGGTGGCGTGCGTGATGGGTTTCTCGAATGATCGGAGAAGTCCGAGTGTGTTCGAGATGTCCTCTTCGTTAGTATATAAGCCTGGAAGAGAAAGTCAGCAGGGATGAAAGAAGAGAGAGCAGTAGTTACTTTGAGTTCCTTGTAATTTATGATTCTGTTAGTTTCAGGCTAGTGACCATAAAGTGTGTGTTTTGCACTCGTCGAGAGCTAAATTATAGAGATTGTGAATTGTTGTGATTTATAGCGTGTATTATAAAAGTTGTGAAGTTTAAAGTGACGAGAAACGTACTGATTGTGGAACTTTTGTGTACTAAAAGTTTGTATCGAGTAAGAATAAACTGGTTTAATCAAGAAAGGACTTGTATTGCTGAAGATCCTCGGAAGGATTTCTACCAGAAACAAACAAACAAGCAGATACGCAACAATAGCATAAATGTTAAACAAGTAACAAAATTTAGCATTTTTTGATTTACAATAGTATTCAAAATTATGAATTTTAAAATGAAGTAGGGATCCTGCTACAAAATGTAATGAAACAAGAATTAAAACCACAAACACAAACTTATAAAATTTAATCCTTACTATGGCCTACAGAAAAGTGTATACAGCTGCAGGATCTCTCCTTTATTTTAAAATTAATAATTTATTAATACTCTTGTTTGCTTACTTTTTATGTTATACCTGTTTAAAGTATATACTTTACTATTAGAAACTGTTGTGTGTCTATCCATCGATATGTAGCGCCATCCGTTGGGTTGAAAAGATATTTAAGTACACGCATAATATGCTTACCATTTATATTATACCTGCATATATATGGATTTTTATCGGAATATTAAAAACGGATACCCATAGATCAGTCAAGTAAGTTGGAGGAATCTTGTAGCGATAGTCCGAGCCGTCTAGGCGCTAGCCCCATTGACGTAATCAGGTAGGTAGGTAGTAGACGAAGTTACTGTTTTCGAAATTTTCGAATCGTTATACTTGAAATGTTAGGGTGGTTTTTCGGCGCGTTAATTATTTGGAATCCTTGTCAGGGCGTCAACTGGGACTGAGTTTTTACCTCACCCCCCCTCCAAAAAAATATATACACAAAAATCAGAAACAAAATTGATGTTTATTACATTTAACCAAATAATCACCAACAGAACATTCAACTTTAACTTTCAACTTTCAAAGCCTAGCCTCAACTTCTCAAACCCTAACGCCTATTGTTTTCAAAACCCCCACTTTCCCCAGAAATCCACTTCTCAAGCCATGCCTGTTATTAACCCCTGTTGTTCTCTGAATTCTCGACTTTCAGCGGACCATCAATCTTTGTTGCTCAGAACACTTTTTTTTTTTTAACTAAACCAGTTATTGACTGTAACTTTCAGTACCGCGTTAGTTGGCACAAAGATTAGGGCTTAGATGCCTATCTTCGACACTCGGCCGGAGCCAAGTATTACCGGGTAACCCAATACCCGCCCGGGGCCGAATATGTAGCCGGGTACCCGTGCAATCCTACTTTTTTTTGTATATAACTCCAGAGGCACCAAACAATTAGCTTTTCTCTTTATCTGAAACACAAATAGTTCTGAAATACTAGGGGGCAAAATTTATGTTGTCAACGAAATTTTATTAGGGTACCAGGCCCCTCTCTCCTCCTTTCCTACAGAAATAAGTACACACGTACATACACACATATATAATTATTTAAAATAATAAACATGTTACTTGAACTACAACTAATAGTGCATGTTATCTGATAAAATCGGTATTCTTGCAGGTTTCCAGTTACCCGCCATTCCCTGGTAATGAAGGTAACTATCTTCGGGCACAGATTGCTCGTATCTCGGCTGGGACGCACGTTTCTCCAATAGGGTACTACCAATTTGAAGAAGATGAAGAAGAAGAAGAGGATGAAGAAGGTAAAAAATGAAAAAATCATAATTATTCCAGGAAATATAATAATTTTAAAGTGAAGTTTTTGTATTCTTAATTTCAGTTGTGAATTATTCAAATTTTGTAATGAGTATGAACAAATGTTATATACTTGGTTAATACATTACAATAGATCACACATGACTCTGTAATAAAAGAAAAACGGCTGTATGGCACAGAAGTTTAAGCTCATGTTATACAAGTTTCAATGTAGAGTCTTTGGTTTGTTTTGAATTTCGTGCAAACCTACTCGAGGTTAGCCGTCCCTAATTTAGCAGTGATAAACTAGAGCAGTTCTTCCCAAACTTCACCACCTTCACGATTTTTGCCATATCTGTGTATCACCTGTATTACGATTTAAGTTTTACTTAATATTTTTCTTTAAATCGACTCACTTTTTATTTAAATAAATTTATTTTAAAGGAAATTTCATAACACTAGGATAAATGGAAAACCAGTATCACTTACCATAATATATTTTTCCAAACATATTTTTCTCATCTCAAAATGACATTGTTATTACAAAGCAGACCAGATGACGCGCACGCCCTCTGAATAATTGTCAATGTTTAATTGTGGGCGGATAATGTAATAACCGCGTTAAATTTTTTTTTCTAATAAACATTAAAATAAAAGTTGTCCGCGTACCACCTAAAATCATCTCGTGTACCACCAGAAGTACGCGTACCACACTTTAGGCTACACAATGGGCTATCTGTGCTCTGCCCACCACGGGTATCGAAACCCGGATTCTAGCGTTGTAAGTCCACAGACATACCGCTGTGCCACTGGGGGCAACACTTTGGGAAACACTGGACTAGAGGGAAGGCAGCTAGTGAACATCACTCATTGCCAACTCTTGAGCTACTCTTATGTCAACGAATAGTTTGATTGTATATATATGCTGAAGATTTATTTTTTCTGAAAAATAAATATTATATATATATATATACTATCATTAAACAGTTGGTCCACTATATAATATCAAATAATGAATTCGTCATAAAATTATTCAAATAACTAAATTAATTTAGGTCACTATAAAGTGAAGTAAAGCGGACTTAAAACAACATAGAATAGTAAGATGGACTGTTACATTATAATGCTTCCATGGGTGAAAGGGCAACTATGTTTGGTGATGGGGATTCGAACCATCAATTCGCAGCTTGCGAGTCGAGCGCACTAATCATCAGGCTGTGCCAGTCCAACATAGAATAAACCTCTTTTATTGTTTATTACCTCTCTTTTTTTTTTTAGACCTAAGCTATGCCTCTCAATCAGCCAGTGGCTCATCGGAAAGTCTGAAGATTTATAGCGCTAACAACTGGTTTTCGATACCCGAGGTGAGCACAGCACACATAGCCCATTGTGTAATTTTGCGCTATGAACCTTTAAAATACTCAAGAATAAATTATAGAAGCTAGATGATAATTTTCACTCAGCTTACAATTTCAGACAAGAAAAGGGTCGTGCTTTTTTCAATATTTTTGTTTGTTGTTAAGCTCAAAGCTACATGAATTGGCTATCTATGCTATGCCCAACGCGGGTATCGGAACCCGTTATTTAGCGTTATAAGCTCTGAGACTTACCATGGAGCGACCGAGGGACTTTTCAACATGGATAAAATATTGTAAATATATTCAAAAGGTTTAATAATCTCCGGACATATCACGTTTTAATCACTTTTTCTTCTATCTCTTCAGACTTGTCAACTTTGCTAGCTTTCTTATATTTGTACTTATTTTGTCTTGTAATTCAGACTTGTGAACTTTACTAGTGACGTTACTTGTTCTTGTACTATATGTATATATATATATATATATATATATATACCACGCTTTCATCACTTGTTCTTCTTCCCATTCAGGGGTATCAGCTTTGCTTGTGTTCTTATTTGTTCTTGTGTTATATACTCGTTTTCATCACTATTTCTAATTCATTTCACA